CATCTCATCATCGATGGGACCGCCCAGGCGAGATTGCCAGGCAAAAAGGAATATTATACAATTTAATAGAAGAGCTTGGATGAAGGCTCCCACCCTTCCCATCTTCTCCACAAAGTTGAAGTCGAAGTTGGTAATGAAATATCTAACGACCGGAAGTCAATGGCAAATACTTAATAATGTTGTTCGCTTCGCCTTTGTGGTTTGCCAGTTGTCAGAGTTTGTTGGCTGAGTTTCAATGTTTGCCTTTTGGCTTTTAGTACACTGAGGGAAAGGGTTTTTAGGAAGGTTTTTAATATATTTTTTAAGAAATATAAGTTTAAAGATTTCAAAAGTTGTTTTTAATCTTAAAATCTACTTAAGTTTCTTAGGAAAAATGTTTTTTTTTCACTTTCCAAATTGAGTGCTAAATTCTCCCCTTTCCCGCTGTGCAATTTCCCTCGATTGAGAATTGCGTGCAGCTTGTTGCGCTTTCAGGTGGCAAGCTGTGGAACACCGCTAAGTGAGCACTTCAAATTGCCTTTTGATTCGTTTCAATTCGATTTAACAATCACCCAACAACCATTCCATTCAAATTGCAATTTCTTCGGTTATCAGCGTTGATAACGATCTGATCGAAACAGGAAACGGAAATAGAAATCGAATTTAATTGTTTTTACGCTACGATCGTTTCTTTTTTATGAATGAAACTTGATGCTAACGCTATCAGGAGGGCAGGTCTCCTAGCTGCCTAGCCGATAAGAAGTAATTAGTTCAAAAATAACCTGCACTAATACATTTTCAGCTAGTACTTCTACTTCCATTTCTGTTGAGTTTCCATTTCCGAGAATTGCTGATAAGAATTGCTGTGGGGAGAGTAGCGCGCGCCATTGCCTGAAAGCCGTGTGCTAATTTGCGCAATTACTCACACTCTAAGATTGGCACGAGTCCCCAGTTCCACCCACAAAAAGGCAGAGTATAACAACACTCAGTCTCCAATTTCCTAGTGAAAACCATTGACGTAGTGACTAACTGATTAAGAGAAAAATATAAAGCGGGGGTCTACATGGTAGTTAAGTAGATTGCCAGCCTGGGACTAGAGCATCTCAGGGATCGTTAACATATTGGAAAACTAAGGCACTTGCACTTCCTTTCCGCTGGACTACGTGACTTCTAAAACGTTCTCGAGCCAAAGCAAAGGCCTCAGATTGGCTGAAGCTAGAAGCCAAGATTAAAGCTGGACCGGCATAACTCTTGATTTTAATAGCAATCTTTGTGGGAAAATATGGAACACATTTGTGAGTAACTGAAATATGTTTATTTCCGTTGAAAAATCAATCTTAAGTTAGGCTTGCTGATAATTTGTTGGGAATTTTTCTAGGTGGCACTATCAAGATTAAAAGTCCAGAAAGATTTATACTCCCTAGATAATCTCTTAACCAAGAAATTAAAAACCTTCCCAACCAAACCTAACTAATTATCATTTAAACAGTATAACAGACGGTGTAAATATAAATATTAAAAAAATATTACAAATTAAAAGAAATTAATCATACGGGGGGGCTAAACCTAGGCCTCCCAGAAAAGCTACCAGCTAAGCGTGACGTGGATGTGAATGTAGATGGATCCATCTCGTGATCTAAGAAGACAGCAGACAGGCAGGCGTTGTCCAGTGTAGTAACTGGTGGTGGTCTTCATGATTGACCCATTTCCAGAGACGAGCTGCAAAAAGTGAGGCAACTAGGAGCGAACAATGAACACCTCGTATGATTACCAACCGCAGTGAAGTGGAGTTGGAGTTGGAGGATCTCTTGGCCATGTGTGTGGCCCAGGTTCCTAAAACCCCTCCCCAACCCCACCTCCCTATAACTTCAGTTAGATCACATAATGAATTTTGAACACGCACAGACGTTTTGTAATTTTGAGTTGTAAGTGCTGTGTACTTTGAAGGTGCCCAAGCCTGGGTTAGCGTCTACTTCGTCTACGACTACTACAAGTCATAATAATTGTTATAATACATATGTATGCAATGCCAAATATGTACGCTGTGGTGTTGGCCATATATTCATGGCTATGAGAAGTCATTTCTTTAACACGCAGCCCACCTTGGGATTGCTGTGTAGGTGCACTGAGAGAAATGGTTAGGGAAGGAAATGAGGGAAAAGTCTATTTAGACTCATGATGGGAGGTACTAGAAATGTATTTTAAAGTCTCTTTTTATAAAAAATCACACATTTTACTTTAATATTTAAAGTTTTTATAGATAAAGTATCTAAACTGATGAAAGATCTTGACTATTTATTGATACCTTTTTTTTTTTTAGAAATTTTGATGAACTTCTAATAAAAAGGCAAATTTAATAACTTAAGCTTACAAAAACAAGTTGATACGATGCTACGACGATGTTGATAATACTACTAAGTTAGCTAGCCCACCTCAACTAGATAAAATATCTTATTTTTTCCGGTGTCATTCAGGTAAACGTGTTAACAAAGATAAAGCCGAAGCCAAAGCCAAAGCCAAAGGGTTTCCCCTGCATTTGTCGCCAATTATGCGGTTTTGTGATAATGACCAAATGATCTCCCTCCGTCGCCGTCGCCCTCTCTGTCTCGCACGTAATTTCAATTCATTCATGGAATATACTATAAAGCCGCGGAGTCAATGTTTCGCTTTGTATCGTATCTTATGGATTCGTTCATTCATAAATTTACCTGGTCGCGGCGTAGTCATCATAATAATAGCTTTATCTTATCCTCTCCTCTGGCTACTTTCTTCGCTCTTCACTCTGTCTCTCCTCTCAGTCCCTCCTCCTATATCAACATACATACTTCTATAGCTCTCCCCTTTGCACCTTATCGATACATCGAACGGAAGCAGCGGAAGCGTCCTCAGTCGACGTCGACGTCTCGATCGATTGTTGTTCTTGTTGTTGTTTTTGCTGGTCGAGTGGTAGCCTGAGGTATTGTGTCTTCGAAATGCGAAGCGTTCCCTTACTACACAATATCGGTGTCTTCTTCTTTTTGTTTTTTTTTTTTTTTTTTTTTTTTTTGTTGTCTGGAGTTTCTTTTCAGGCGAATGCGCGTGTGAGGCAACACAAGAAATTCATTCATAAATTGCTTGTGTGCCTGGGGAATTCTGTTTTTTTTTTTAGGGGGAAGAAACTTGAGTAGATTTGCCATATGTGCTCTACAATCTGGTTAGGAAATTATGAAAAAATATGGCAAAAATATATACAAAATTATGATAAAAAAGAAGATAGGAAATGCTCTTTCAGACACAGAAAAGATAAAATATTTTTAGGTTTATAGATGGTTCTATTCAAAAATATTCTAAAAATGTTAGTTTTTAGCATAATTAGTTTAAGATTTTCCTAAAGTTTTTTAAAACTAAATCTCTTATGTTAAAGTTCATTTAAATAAAAGAAGTTAAAGTTCCCTGTTTCCCAATTAACCTAAAACTTTAAACTTGAATCTATAACATACAGGGCTCCATTTCATCTCGAAGTTTTCTCAGAATTCTCCTTAAAATATAAAGTCACCAAACTTTTTCATTTCTGATCTTAGCATTATAATATCATAGCCTATCAAAAGATAAGATTGGGCTCTTTTTTTTGGCAAACTCTTATCTATTTCTAGCACCTGTTACACCCTGTATAACCGCCCATTTGGTCACCTGTTGCCAGTGTTCCGAAAAAAAGTCGCCTTTATTTGTGTTTGTTCTCTTCTTCTTGCATTATTTTTTGCTTTAATTTTTTCGTTTGTCTGTGTTTTGTTTTTTTTCGTTGCCTTTTTGCCTTTTTCTCTCGGCTAAACAAACAACCTGGCAGCGAGTTGTTGTTTTACTAGCTGTTGCTGTTGTTCTTGTTGTTGCTGCTCTGATGATGGCCGTTTCCGTTCCAAGCACACACACACACACACACACTATTAGATACATATACAAATGAGAGAGCACACATGCACACCGACACGCACTTGCATCGTTTTATGAATGAATTTCATACCATTTCGTTCCGCAAGATTGTTTTGAGATTTACGAGTTTCAATTCCACTTGTTGCCAGCTCTCTTGGGCTCTCTCTCGGTGTGTGTGCGGGAATCTGAGTGGCTCTCTCCTGTATCTCTCTCTTTCCCGCTCGTTTCGCTGCTTAGGATATGCAGCTCTATAGCTACGGATACGATCGTTTCGTTTCAGTTTGGCTTCACAAATCCAGCAATCCGATAGATACACAACAGAACGAACGACGAGCGAATCTTAAAAATACATATATATTTTTTACATTTCGTGTGTTTTTTGATCAATAAAAAAATCTAATAATAATAAAAAACAAATTTAAATAAATCTCAAGTAACAAGAATATTGACTATCAAGTGTGTCTTTGTGTGTGTGTGTGTTTGTGTGTTCCTTCTGTAAACCCGTTTGCTAATGTTGACAATCTGTTAATGGCTAAATGGTGCTGTGATATATGCAATTAACGTTTCAATTGCCACAATTAAGGCGCGACAATTGCACACCCAAGATACATTTGTATCTTGTATGTTTGACATTGATTTGATTTTAAGAAAGGGTCACGACTTTCACTGACATCTCAGTTCAATTCAAGATTGTGCCGCACACCACCAATCAATTAAGTTCAATTGAACCATAATCATCATCTTGCCCCCTTTCGCACCCCGCGTTTGACCCCTGTTGACACCCAAGTGCGTAAACAAATTCGTTCAACAGCCGATCTCTTAATTGGCTCTACTATGACCAATGAGTGGATCGATTGGAATGATAGTCGGATGTTGCCGCCGCTCCGATCGGCCAACTATAACCATCACCATCATCAGACCTTCTTGCCCAATAACTATCAGTGTTTCTCAAGCAAATTTCATCTGAAGGGTCAAAAGTTGCAACAGCTATCCACGAATCATCATAGCAAGCTTAAAGGTGGGCTTGTGGTTTATTTTCTTTACTTAATATTGTTTAGTTTTATCCAAGTTTTATATAAATTTTTAACTTATTTTATGTTTTGTTTGTCTTGCAGATGTTCCCACCGCCTTGCCACCCCTTACACCTGGCACCAATCGCAAGGTCAATGAGGTCCTGAAGGCCTCCTTTGCCTCCTGGGAAAAGGAGGTACAAAAATGCAACATAACCAAAGGTAAGCGGATGTTATTAAAAGGTTGAATATCAATTTGATAGATATTTATAAGATATTATGTGATAAAAGATACTTAGATATCAAAGCATTCGCGTTCTAATAAGATTCAATCTAATCAATCTGAATTTAAGATGTATCTTTCTTGACTTTTTAACGTTATTATCTAAAGAACATAATCCTAACTACTAAAGAACGCCTATTTCCCCTTCTAACCAATAAAAAATTGAGTCCTAACTAACCGTGAACTATCAATTGGAGTTCCGGCCTGAGTCTCAATGAATATTAATAGTTTCCCACAGCAATAACAAAGTGCACTCGCTCCCACGCCTAATTAAGTCGCTGTCAAGCAAAAAAGCCCATTAGAAAACTATTAATTTCCATTCGTATTTCTATATCTATTAACATATTCCCCCCAAAATATATCCCTCGTTTAGATCCCCGTGAATGGACGGAGGAGCATGTCATCTACTGGCTAAATTGGGCCAAAAATGAGTTCTCACTGGTCTCGATGAACCTGGATCCCTTCTACAAAATGAAGGGCCGTGCCATGGTGGATCTCGGCAAGGAGAAGTTCCTGGCCATCACCCCGCCCTTCACCGGCGACATACTGTGGGAGCACTTGGACATCCTGCAAAAAGGTGAGTACGTGACCCGAATGAGCCGAATAAGCCGTCGGCAAAAGTGTAAGCCATAAAACATGGTCATGGCGCCAGTAACGAAATTTACCTGCCCCAATGATAAAAAAAAAACCAAGGGAAACCTAGGAAAACCCAGCAGGGCAGCCCAAAACGGAAGCCTGTCTAACAAAGTCAAGGAGTCCATGATGGGTTTGGGGCTGGGTTCTATGTGAATGGCGTGGAGTGGGTGGCGGGCGTTCAACTGGTTCTCTGACCTGTTGAGCACTCCTCCAACCCTTTACTTTTCACTCTTTTTTTCGTGTCCTCCTGACGCTTCCTGTCCACGCTGAAATTTGATTTCGAGTGGAGGTTGCTGGTTGTTAGTACACTGAGAAAATAGGGGAGAGTTTATGGGGTTAGATAAAGGGAAATATGTATGACTTAAGGAAGCTTTTCTTAGCAAAGTTTGGGTTGTAAAATTAGGAATTAAGAACTTTGATTAGTTTAAGTTTAGTTTAAGGCTGCTATAGAGACTCCATAAGAGAAAGATGATTCTTAAAGTGTGTTAAAAAATCTTTCTAAAATATAAAACACTTTTAGCTATACTTCCCTTTCCACTCATAACTTAAATAATATTTTTCATAAAACTTTCTTAAGCCATAATGTTAAGTTTCCAGTGCAAACTTACAGAAACCCTTTATAAAAAGTAAACAAATTTTGAATTTTTCATATTCCAAACTTATTGAGTTTGTCAAGCTATTAGTTTGGGTCAACCTTATTAGTTTTTTTTTAAGAATTTAATTTAATTTGTTACTCATTCACCTTTACTTTGGCATAAACCCCCCCCAACCTTTGGCACATTTTCACAGATTGCGAGAAACCAAATGAGGATATTGTCCATGGCAATTCCTTTGAGTCGGCCACCACTGCCTCGGTCTGTGGATCGGACCACCAGGTGGCCAATTACCCCACCGAGCCACCCGCCAACAACAACAACAACAATAATAGCAACAGCAGCATAAATAGCCGCCTGTCTATGGATTATGTGACGTCGGCGGGGAATAGTGATAATAAAAACTTCCACCGAGCCACGCCCCACTCCCATAACGGTAAGTAAATCAAACTGAAAGATAGTTATTAAGGACATACTGAGATGTGTATTAAGTTTGGGGGAGAAGTGGGTCTTAGGAGGAAGGTTTTCCTGATTGGAAAGGGTTTATCGAAGGGGTTTATTATGATTTTTTTTAAGATTTGATTTCAATTTGATCTTTTCATGATTATTATTAGATGTATGGTTATTTTATCTTAATTTTTTTGGAAATATTGTTTCCTTTTTCCTGTTTTCTTTTACATGGTTAAGGAAATCCTAAGAAAATGAAACTTTTTCTCATTGGAAGTTCATTTTTATAGCTTTTCTTAAGTACTAACCTTATCAACTTAAACTCAATGTCGCCTCATAAATTAATTACCCCTTTGAGGAATCTATGCAAGTTATTAAAATTCCCTAATCTCCATTAATGGTTCCCCAGAGCTTAACATCTTATCATTATCCCTTATCAATCCCAATAAGAAAATTCCTGGAAATCATAAACTTTTAAAGATGATTAAACCATAAAGATATGATGAGAGAAACGATAAGAGAAACTTTCATTCATTTTCTGCTAAGCCAAAAACTTAATAAATAACCAAAAATCAATCTAAAAAAAATTCCCCAAAATCATTATTGAAATCGAAATTACATCGATCGATCTTAGATGGATATTGGGGCTCATTAAGCTTTCCATTTAATTTATGGCAACATCCTCGGCATCGATTTTGGCCAAATGATGAACAGTTGTTTGGCATGTGTTTAGTGCATCCGGCGGTTAAAGCGATGCTAAATCACAGGCAGATCCATAACTAAATTCAAATTGAGAGCCAATTTAAACAATTCATTTGCTAAGATACAATGTATCTGACTTCCTATGCAGCAGCAGCAGTGTGTATTTTGACTTTATCTGAGTTATATTTCTGTGATTTGAATTTATTTATGTGAAATTGAAACGGAAATTAAATTTTAAAACAAATAGCAAAGCTGTCTGTCGGTGTGTTAGCTTGGCGCCAGCGTAGGCAGCATATCTAAATATCTATTTAAATTGTTTACATATTTATAGAGAGAGGGGTATGGGGGAGGGTAGAGGGTAGCGGAGATAGGAGAGGAATGGAATGGAGTCGACGCCAGGGCACAGCTTGAGATTGAGATACATTTATTAAATGCGTCGCCGTACAAATTGGAACACAGCAGCAGCAGCAGCATCATCATCATCAGGCTGCATTGTGCCCCTCCGTTTTTTTGTTTTTATTTCTCCAATGTTGCAGTGTCAAGATGATATAGTGTGTTGCATTATTAATCAACTGACCCCCAGCATGGACTTCGGCGCTGGCGTCTTCTGATCGTTGATGCCACTAGAGACCCTGGCAGACTCCTGTCGTTTTAATAAATTAATTGAATTTATGGTCTTTGACACATTATGACCATAAATGTTAACAACATTTATATTTACATATTACAAGATGCAGACGTGTGTCTAGTTAATGAAACAATCAATTTGGGGAGAGAAATTTGTATTTTCCTGATTTTTTAATACTCTTTTTGGGGAGTTTTTAAGAAAATTCGAAGTTTTATGGCCTTAAAAAGCTTTCTTTTGATTTATTTTGAAAGATATTTCTAGGATTTTAAGTTTAATATATTTAGTTCGTTCTTAATCTTAAAGATACTTTCAAGAATGCTTAACAAAGTGTGTATCTTTGAGGCTAAAATCCAGCTTTTAATGGATAAAACTACTTCAGTCATAACTAAGGTTATTTCCTTCATGATTTGTAGTAAAATGTTACCCATTTTCTCCACTAAAACCCCTAAGATACTTCTTAAAATCCCCTTCGATAACATAGCTAGTTCGAACACATGTAAATCCCTGATGATCTTTTCAGTGACCACGTTCTGATCCTCAATTTGATTCAATCATTTGCATTGCCTTTGTAGCCGTGGAAGTAGCCCCTGTTGTTGTCAGCATTCTTATTATTATTATTATTATTTCAATTTTGTGGATAAGCCACCGTTGTCTGGGGGCCCCTACTCCTCTCTCTGGCATAGTCATTGTCCCCCTGCTTAACCCGCATCTACAGAAATTATCCAACTCGGATCGTTGGCCAATGGTTTGTAGGTTGGTTTTCTTAATTCGTTTCGATTGTCTTTTTGTCAGTCATTAATTTGCTGCATTTGCATATTATTGATGTTGTTTTTTCTCCTTTCAATAATCATTTGCATACGATAGTAGTTTACGCGCTCTCTCTCTCTCTCTGTGAGGGGTGTGTGAAAAATTGATTGACCCCCAGCTGGAGAGGATTGCTAAAGAGATTCCAGAGAAAAAGGGGACTGAGACTCCCTTAAGTGCGTGACTTGTTGACACTTTTAACCCCCAACTCCTGGCACTCAACTGGTAGGCTTCTTCCTTCTACTCCTAAAAAAAGGTAATTATGCAGATGAGTGCCTTTAAGTTTATGGCATCCAGGTGTGCTGCCTTCCTAGGTAAACTATCCAAACCTATCAAAACCTTCACAGCCTTAAAAGTCAGTAATTAAAACTAAAATACAAATTATGATTAATTATAGACATTAAAGAATCGAGTTCATGCCTTTGGCGAAACGAGTTTCCAAATCTTCAAAACTAATAAAAACAGTGTCATGAACACGCTTCACTTTTGCTATGGCCAACGAACTGAGTCATTTTCTTAGTTTTCCTCTGTTTCTTTGTTTTTTTTTTTGTGTTTTTTTATTGTGTATTTTTCATTTAATTTGACCCTCCCACTGGTGCAACACCTACAAGCAAACCCAACGGAGCGCAAAAAAGCTGAAAATGTTTCAAAGTTTCATCATCGCTCGTACGAAGAAGAAGATTTTTAGTAGAGGGGGGGAAGTTAGTTTGTATACTAGTTGAATGATTTACGATCTTGCACTTTAACACACAGCTGGAATTTATGCATAGAAGTGTTTTTAGTTTTCCAAACCCCATTCCTCCACCCCATTCATATGGAAAGCATTTTCATTTTCATTCGCATTTCGATCTAACGCTTAGTCAGCGGTTTAAAACAATTTTTGCACACATCGAAAGATACAATGGGCCAGATAGATACATAGATACATATGTGAGGTTGGATGGCTGATTGTTCGACGGACTCTATAGACCCCATCATGACCAGGGTCTTTCGATGTTTTGGTTGAGAGCGTATCTAGGCTAGTGTATCTTAGATATTTGCACGCAAAAATTGTTGCTGCCTTTTTTGGTTGTCTTTTTTCTGTTCCATCTTCTTCTTCTTCTTCTAGATCTATTGTTCTGCTATAATCTTATATATATTTGATTTGTTTTACACTCGTATGATGTCATTAGTCTGCATGTGAAAGAACCCTTAATGAAACCCAAGTCGATGTGGTGGGGAGAAATCAAGTTTATTTACCTTTTGGGAACTCTCCACCCACCCATTGTTCCACTAAATTTAGATTTGCGAAAATCACCGAGATATATATATATATATATATAGCTGTTCCTATTCTATGATTTGCCATTCATGAAGTTTTATTTTTGTTTTTTCTGTGTGTGTTTCTGTGTTGCTTTTTTATTTCTACATAATAAAATGCCTGATGCGTGAAATGTTTGTCCAAGCTTGAAGAGTTGCCATTGTTGCCTCTTGCCGGCTGTTGATTCATCATCGTCATCATTATGATCATCATCATCATCATCATTATCATCATCAGCTCCATATAACCTCAGCCCAGGCAACCGACCGATCAACCGACCATAGAACTGTTTCTGTTTCAACCTCTTTTGGATCCCCCGATCTTGGTTGCCTCACAGAATGACACATTTAATGCACATTTGACTTGTAGATACATCTCGGTGAACAAAAGCTAAAAGCAACTCCAACACAGTCACATGTATCTTTGAAGTTCTAGCATGTGACATGTACGTAAATTCTACAACCTCACTTTGGCTGGCCTGGCCCTCTGTCAAGTTTTAGTTACAGTTTGTTGGTTTTGAAAATGACAATGGAATGACAATCTTTCAGTTCTCGCCAAAGGAGGCACAGACATGTGCCAGACGACAGTCAACGTTGAAAGGTAGAAAAGTGAGCTTGGAAATTTCACTTTCATTTTGTAGGGGTTTTGATTGTAGATTTTTGGGAAGAGTAGCCATGGAGTAGCAAAGAATTTAGTTAAAAACTAAAAAGAAACGGTAAGATTGAGAATATAAGCTAAAAGCTGTCAAATTTTTACTAAATAGTTTTCTAACTTTTTTAAGCGTAACTTTCAAATTTCTAACAACTGTAAACACCTTTCCACCTCTTTTTCAGTACCCCAATTTCTGTAAAGTCATGATTAATTTATTCATCTGAAAAATGTAGTAATTTTCAACCCATAATTTAGCTCACTTTTTTTTGTATTTTGCATAAAATTCGAATAAAAGATTAGCCCACAAAACGAAGCAATTTTCGCAGTTCCCTGGAAATCAGAAAGCACATAATTATACATTAACACAAAATACATAAAAAAACGAGTATGTAAGCCAGCAGAATTATTGGGAATCCAATGGATATGAAATTAAAAACCTAGCAAGAAGAAAAGCCAGCAATTACCATACAATTGTGAAGTGGAAATATGGGAAATATGATCACCTCGAGGGCTTACCTTTTCTTTGTATTAATTACACTAAATTCGACCCATTAACGCAAGATAGTTTTCACCTCCCACTAATTGTTGGGCCAACAGACCAGAACCCTACCAAATTAGAAGTTATAGAAGTTCTTCTTTTAGTTTTTTGGTGTTTAAGTAAAATCTTTTTCGATACGCAACATAAATCCCAAAAGAGTCATAACACGAGGGAATTATGTTGATTGCAAATTTGTTAAGGTCATAAAGTGGAATTTCATTTTTAATTTCAACGCCATTGTTTTGTTGCAAGTGAAGAAACTCAAAAGAAGAAGAAGCTCCGAAGAAGAACCAGAAAGAGTAGCATATTATTATGGCATTTAGCGGAATTTAAGGCAACCCACTTCAGCCTGAAGTCTGCTTTCAG